CCATCCTCAAGATTCAGATTGATACCCCGGCCCTGACCGCACTGTCCTGGTAAGAACTCTGCCGCTGAATCTTGGGAGCAATCTCGGCTTCAAAGGTCTCCATGATCGCTTTGAAGCGCAAGAGGGGTGTGCCACTGGCAGGAACGTATCGACGTGCCCAAGTAGTTTTCTTTGGCTCTGCTCCCACCTCTTCGCAAGGCTCATCACCCTTTGTCTTCCCTGTCTTCTTTTCCTTTGGATCCTTCGCTTTGCGCTTGGGAGCCGATGGAGCTGCCTCGGCGGCTGCCTCGGGGAGCATTTCCTCGTCAGCTTGGTTGTCAGGCTCCTTCAACTCGTTCTGGCTTGCCCCCACGGACTTGGCCTTACCTTTGGCTTTTGCTTTTGCCTTGCCTTTGGCGCTTGCCTTTGGCCTGGCTTTGGCAGTTGCCTTGGCCTTGGCTTTCGCCTTGGCCTTCGCACTTCCCTTGGAGTTGCCGTTCTTGCCAGGCTTAGTCTGGTCGTCATCAGCACCTTCATCACCTTCGTCACCTTCTTCATGTTCATCTCCAGCGGCCTCGCGGAACTCGGCAGTGAGTTGCTCACGTCGCAGCAACAATGGAGGCTCCATGCCCATCAACGAAGAGGTGGCTCTGGAGTCGGATTGCTGCCGCAACTTCTTTGTGACCGGTGGACGGCCTGCTGAAGCTGAAGCTGAAGGATCAACGGCGCTCTCCCCATCAACTGCGCCCTTGCCATCAATAGGAAGGCCAGCCTTGAGCGCAGCTTTCCCATTGTCATCCTCCTGGGACTGCTGGCTCACAAAAAAATTGTGAATAATTACCCATCTACCTGCCGCTCAAATTTTCATTAAAAAATACCGGGAGAATCCGCGGGATGTGTCAGGAAACAAGTCCCATCCTTGCTGGGTGAAGGCGAATCCAAACAGATGAGCTCTCCAGAAGACCCAGCATGCCGAACTGCCTGGGCCGTCTCAACCGCATCCATCGGCTGGGTGTCGATGTTGTCAAGGCATGAACCTCACAACCACGATTAGACGATTGTTGGGCCTTGAGCTATAGACCCAGCTTGATAACCACCCTTACTTACATGTTCCACATGTTTCTGTTTTAAGTCTCAATGGGGCTTTGAAAAAAAATACTTTACTTCGAGTGATCCCCACCATGACATTTCAATCATTTGTCTTGATGCCATAGTGAGGAGCATGTTGCCATAGTCGTTAGTATTGTAGTTCTCGATGTTGCTTGTGGGTCCTCGGGTTGTGTGCTGTGGTTGCGAGCTGTGGTTGTGTGCTGTGTTGTGGTTGTGGTTGTGTTTGTGGTTGTGTTTGTGGTTGTGTGTTTGTGGTTGTGTGTTTGTGGTTGTGTGTTTGTGGTCGTGTGTTTGTGGTTGTGTTTGTGGTTGTGGTAGTGGTTGTGATTGTGTGTTTGTAGTTGTGGTTGTGGTTGCGGTTGTGTCTTTGTGATTGTGTGTTTGTAGTTGTGGTTGTGGTTGTGTCTTGTGATTGTGTGTTTGTAGTTGTGTGTTTGTGGATGTGTTTGTGGTTGTGTTTGTGGTGGTGGTAGTGGTTGTGATTATGTGTTTGTAGTTGTGGTTGTGGTTGTGTCTTTGTGATTATGTGTTTGTAGTTGTGGTTGTGGTTGTGTGTTTGTGGTTGTGTTTGTGGATGTGTTTGTGGTTGTGTTTGTGGTTGTGTGTTTGTGGTTGTGTGTTTTTGTGTTTGTGGTTGTGTGTTTGTGGTTGTGTGTTTGTGGTTGTGTGTTTGTGGTTGTGTG